CCCGGCTGCATGAAGCGACGCCGCTGCGCCCCCGGCCCTGGCCGCTGTCCCGCTGCGCCGGGGGGAAGCCCGGCAGCATGGCCCCCCCACCCCACTCTGCACACGGAGTCCGGGTGGCCCCCCACCACCACCCCCCTCAGCCTCTGCCAAGAGGACCGAGGGGGGCGCGCGGACCCGCCGGCTGCATCTGCTCCGTCTGCAGCGCCCCCGCTTCCCCAGCTCCTCCGCGGCTCCTGCTTCAGCCTCTGCCACCGCCGCCGCGCGCTGTTGCAGACCCGAGTTCCTTCCCCGCTGCTAACTTTCTGCCGGGAGAGAGGAGAGGCGCGGAGGGGGGGGAGGAGGGGGCCGGGCGCGCGCCCGGCGCCGCCGAGGGAAGGGGGATGCGCCTCGCGCGTGCCTGCGAAGGGGGGCTCGGCGTGCGCTAGGGTTGGGGCACCCGGAGAGCCGAGATCGTGACACCCCCCCGCAACCCGACACACACTTACTTGGGGTGTTCCCCGCCCCACCTCGCGTGTTTCCTCTCCCTTGGGAGCTTGGGACTCCGTGCTCTGTCTCCATCCGTCTCCCAATACTTTTAGGACGAAGAGCCCAAAGCCAGCCGCGAGTGCCACGCACCGGGCAGCTGAGGACCGCGGGTGGTGAGATCTCGCTTACGCTTTTCCCCTGGGACTCCAAGCAAACTCATCCCATCCCCAACCCTCCCTTCTCTCACCCTGGATATAGTCCTTCCTGCCTTTGGCCCAGGAGTGATGCCTTCTCCACAACAGCTTTCCCATCCCTACTTCCATCTTTCCAGCCTCCCCATCTTATCTTGGAGCTCCTGATGGGTCGAGCTGTGACACAAACCGCCAGGTTTCCCAGCCCCAAATCCTTTGCCTCTGTCCCTTCACCGGGTGACTACTTTCTGCTCCAAGAGATGAGGCTGTCCCCTCCTCGACACCCTTCACCTACAGGTGCACACACCTACTCCCCTTGGGGGGCATTGCCACTAAAGGAGTTCAGGTTTACCTGGACTGAAAAAGACTGGGAACATCATCGCTCTGAACACTTAATAAGCGGAGAAAACCTGGGTCACAGGGTGTCTGTGCATCGCCTCAATGAATTTTTTTTAAAAAGTGTATTTTCACTGCAGAGGGATTTCTAACCCTCACCTCCCTCTCCTGGAGGAGGGAAATTTAGACATCAGAGGGCTTCGGAAGATTCAAAACTAGACTGTACTTCCTGCTGTTTTTTGCTCAGGGAAGTGAGGGGAATGGAGGGCTGGAATGGGAGAAAGAGCCAGAGTAATCAACTGAGGCACGCTAGCGAACTCTGCTTCCTGGGAACGGGGCTGGCCCTGCGCACAGCTCCGCCAGCCTCCTCCTGGGGGTGGCTCCAGTGAGTCCCCTTTACCCTGCTGGCCACAGCTGGGTGCCTGGTGGGTCTGCTTTACCCTCTGGGGCTGCTGTAGCTGGCATATCCGGTATTGTTTGATCACATAACAGGAACATCAGTTGAAAGAAAATGTATATAATGTCTATATGTTAATGACATACGTAGTGCCAAAGAGAAAAAAAAATGTTAATCAAATAAGATGAAGAACAAGGACTTTCCCCTGAATGAACAAAAGCTCACTGCTGCTCTCAGCTGGACATGCGTTTCCTTCACTGCAGCTTTAGTTCAGATAAAGATTATTCCTTTATAATATATTTTTTATGGTACACTGGAGACCTCTGAAATGCAGAGTCTGGTGTCCTGTAAATCATTCCGTGTAACTAGGGATGCTTTTTCAAACACCGTATAACTGCATTACTGTAATGTTGACGGGAAGGGGCTACCTGGAGCTCAGAGAAGCACATGCTTTGCCTGGCCCTCCTTCCATTCCAAGCCCAGCTGCCCAGCTCCGGGGTAGTGGGCCAGGAAGCCCTGTTGCAGAAAATCTTGACACTGCAGCGGCCTATCTCCCTTCCAAGGCCCAGCTGCCAAGATGCCCAGCATGTGGCCCAGAGCCTCCCTGCATGCAGTTCATGCCCACCACCCAAACTTCTCTATCCACCCTCCTAGCAATCCAGATAAAATGCTGTGTATCCAGTTCCTCTAAAGATATGCTCTCAGATTTGGAAATGTTTTGATGGAAGGATATTAAAACCTAACTCAGCAGTGGCAAACGGAGCTGAATGTGGCCAGTGACCTTAAGAAATTTAAACTGGCTGCAATCGTTTAAAATCAGGTACTTCCCCTTAAAATCTGGATACAAAGTTTCTGTTGAAAAATCAGCAGATCCAAAACTTTTTCATGATACCTATCCAGATCACCCCCACACATTTATGTGACTTGCCTGGGAGCTGCTAGCAAGGAACCTTCTCAGTATCCCTTCCTTGTTTGATACCAAAAGAGTCACACTTTAATAAGAAGCTCCTGAAAGAATGTAGTCTGTGATATTGTGAAATATGTAATTGTTCTTGCTCCTGGTTCCCTGGCATATGACTCCTAAAATCCTTAGTCTCTCCAAAGTGATGTCTTTTTTGTATACTAATCAGTTGACTAATGACGGCAGCAGCAATAATGACTGACAGCTTCAGCGAGGGAGCTGGTCACCAAAGCACCAAGCAGTATTAGAGGGGGCCTACCCCCAGGAGGAGAGAGGGGCTGGAGGTTAAGTTCTCATCACCAATGGCCAGTGATTTAGCCAACCATGCCTGTGTAATGAAGCCTCCATAAAAACGCAAAAGGACTGGGCTAGGGGAGCTTCTGGATAGCTGAACACGTGGAGGTTCCTGGAGGGTGGCATGCCAGGGAATGGCATGGAAGCTCTGCACCCCTTACCTGGTACCTCCCTTATGTATTTCTTCATTTGTATCCTTTGTAATATCCTTTATAATAAATGGGCAAATGTAAGTGCTTCCATGAGTTCTGTGAGCCTTCTAGTAAATTCATCAAACCTAAGGAGGGTGTTGTAGGAACCCCAATTTATGGCCTGTGGTCAAAAGCACAGGTAAAGTAACCTGGATTTTGTGATTGGTATCAGAAGTAAGGGGAGGGGGCAGTCTTGGGGACTGAGCTCTCAATCTATGGGATCTGACACAATGTCCAGGTAGAGAGTGTCAGAATTGAGGACACCCAGCTGGTGTCTGCTGCAGAACTGACAGCTTGCTTGGTGTGTGAGGGAAAACCCCCACACTTCTCCTCACAGAAGTCTTCTGTGTTGATTATGGTGTGATAACAGAAGAAAAACAGTTTGTGTTTTTCCTTAGAGCCCCATTGGTAAAGTGTCAGGCCCCAGGAGTGATGGGGAGAAAGTGGGTTTTTAAAAGAGGAGCTTTGTAGATTTCATACGTAGATAGTTGCTTATTTTCTTCTACTTTTGATCCAGGCTTTTTCTAGGAGCAAGTCCTTGAGAAACCTAACATGAAAATAGTAGCTATCTACATAGGGAGAACTCAGACGTTATTCAGCAATTCCCAGTGGATCTGGAGAGTAGGTATTGCTTTCTGTTTCTACAACCAACATCCAAGCTCGTTCAGGTCTATGTGAGTTTTTACAGTATTCCTCCAGCTGGTCTCTAGGTCTCCAATGTGACTCATTTCTATTCATCCTAGACAACAACAGCAGATCAGTGTTTCTGAGGCAGAGTGTCTAGTGCTACTAACACCCTCCCTGACTCAAGAAACCTTTCTCTCACTGCCTAACTAATAAACACGAGCCTCTTAACCTAGGTGCTCAAGGTCCTCTCCTGCCTTTGATACACCACACAGTCCTGCCAAGTCAAATAGTATATATTATCCAAACATACACATTGCATTATCCTACTCTACCTTTGTGTGATCAGATGATAGAGTGAAAACAAAGCTGTCATTTGCTAGCTAATAGCTTTTGAGCAGGTCATTTCACCTCCCTGGACCTCTGTTTCTGCATATATAAATTATAAATAATAAGACACCTCAAGTTGTTTTTATAAAGAATTAAATCAAATTAAC